ATATATATATATATATACAAAAGTTTGTATATTTACATATTTACAACATTTCTACACATATTTAAAAAGATAGAAAATTATCTATCCTCTATATTATCTGTCACATCTTTCTTTTTTTATCCACCACTTTTTCTATTACCCATATTTATACCATTGTCCTTGTTGAACCCTAACACTCCTTTATCTTATTTTTCTTTTCCCTCCTTTCTTTTTGCCTGTTCTCTGTTTATCCCCATCTCTGTTTAAGTACAATTCTTTGTATAAAAAAACTTATTTTAGCATTATTTAAACGCAAATTTTCTAAAAAAATACACATTATATACATAAATACGTTATCTGTTTGCATTTGTCAGACATGAAGTAAAATTATTTTATTAGAACATAGAAGTTATATGAGAAATTTGCCGTTGTGTATAGCCACCCCTGATATAAAATAAGAGAAAGAGAGATAAAGAGAGGGTGTGTGTGTGTGTGTGTGTGTGTGTGTGTGTGTGTGTGTGAGAGAGAGAGAGAGACAAAAAAGGTTAGGGTTCGACAAGGACAATGATATAAATAAAAAAAGGGGTGAAAAAGCGAGGGATGAAAAAGAAAGGAGAAATGTCGCTAGAAAAGGAGCTGTATTCTTGTTACTCTGTATAAAGGAATACAAGATACTCCTGCGCCATATAAAACGTAACTTGAGAGACGCGCATAGATACGGCGGCATTTCTTCGGGAAAACGATGCAAACCGGAGATACCGCCCGTGAGTTCGGAGGTATTGTCGGTACAGCGAAGTCGACAAGGAGGGTAAAACACTTGATGTGATGAAGTAGGATGGAGATACGCGACGAGGGCGGTGGTAACACCTAGTTGAGTAGACGAGGACGGTGATATCGTCAGGTCTGGTGGGGTGGAGAAAGACGGAGGGATCGTCACAATAGTGAAGTTGACAAGAAGGGGAATACTACCGATGCTATGAACTGGATAGGGACGGAAGTACCGCCGAGACAAGGTCGGCGATACCATCGGCATGATGGAGAGGACCGAGATAGGAGTATCGCCGGCGCACTGCCGTCGACGAGGACGCGAGTAGAGCGATACGGGAGAAGGCTAAAGGGCGAGAGGAGGAGGGCAAAGAGATGGGGTGGCCACGTCTGGCTAGCTAGCGAGACACCACTCCCCACTCGGTCTGGCCGACTCTCTCCTCTAGCCTCTTCTCTTTCTCTCACTCCTCTTTCAGTGTTCGTTCGAGCGCGGCCCGGTACGGTTCTGTTCTGTTACCCCGTCAGAGGGTCCGCTTTCGTGATGGGAGCTCACTGCCGCGGTAATATCGGTGGGAGCCATCGGTAGCCGATTCCCAACACCGATATACCATTCTCAGTGTTATCCGTGTGGTACTAGCTTGTCTTTCCGGGGGTGCGAGCGGGCGTGCGTAAAGAGAGGGGTGTAAAGAGCAGGGCGGGAGTGCGTGAGTGCAGGGGAGGACAGGGCAGTGACACACAGACAAAAATACTCCAAGGCCAATTTGATTGGGGATACGATGTCGAAGACTTGATTAGAAAACGAAATTAGTCAGTGTAAGGAAGTTGAGGGAAAAATTAGCTGGTAGAAAATTGCAGCTCGATGGTATTATCGTTGTTGCCCGCGACTAGGGTAGTTCCGAGACGTCATCGCCCTTCTTTCAGCAAAAACAAACACGCCTGCATCGCATGCAGAAGATTGGATTCGTTTACGCTTTTCGCACGTTAGAGGTGCAATATCGGTTTGCAATTGATAGTAGTCAATCATGTAATAGAGAGTAAAATTTATGCAAGGGAAATGTAATAAATGAAAGAAGATAGTCTTTTAGAAATCTGATTATTTATCTCGAGGCTCGGAAAAAAAAAAAAGAAATCTGTTTTTGCTTCTCGTCCTTTTCCTCGAAGGGGAAGTAAATTTTTAGAATTTCCATCCCCCGGAAACGAGCCGCGAGGTTAAGATAACCGAAGCCGCGGGAAGATCGCCCCGAGTCAGTCCGAATGAAGAACGAGATTTTTCCACGCGGAGTTTTATTCCCGAAGAGACGGCAAGTAACTTGCTGAAAGAAAGTTACCGCGTCAAGTTCCGCATACAACTTTTGACGTACAACTCTGACAATATGTCTGGGAACTACTCGGTGCGCTGCGAACCGGGCCTAGTGATACCGCTCTGGCGTCCGGAGAACAACTTGCATCTAATCGACATCATCTTCCGGGGCCTGGTGTACTTTTTTTTGCTGTTATATCTGTTCATCGGCGTGTCGATCATTAGCGACCGTTTTATGGCTGCCATCGAGGTGATCACGTCCAAGGAGAAAGAATTGGTGGTGCGTCGTCATGGGAGGGAGCCGCAGATCATCGTGGTGCGAGTGTGGAATGAAACGGTAGCCAATCTGACTTTAATGGCGCTCGGCAGTAGTGCTCCTGAGATCTTGCTGTCCATTATTGAGATTTGGGCGAAGAACTTTCAAGCGGGTGAGCTGGGCCCGGGCACGATCGTTGGCTCCGCCGCTTACAATCTCTTTGTTATCATTTCCTTATGCGTCTTTGTGATTCCGAATGGTGAGACCCGGAAGATAAAACATCTGCGCGTTTTCTTCGTCACCGCCACTTGGAGCATCTTCGCCTACGTATGGCTCTACGTTATCCTGGCGGTTTCCAGTCCCGGTGTACTGGAGATCTGGGAAGGCATCTTGACTTTCGCCTTCTTCCCAGCCACAGTATTGACGGCTTACGTTGCTGATCGACGATTGTTGATTTACAAGTATCTGCACAAAGGTTACCGAATGAACAAGCGAGGTGTAATCGTGCAGGCGGAGGCTGGAGATTCCGAGATGGGGGTGGAGCTGGATATCAAGCCTCAGCAAGATGGTTTTCATGGCATGGTAGACCGCTTAGCCGACGGCGATTCCCCCGAAGCGAGAGAGTTCGAACAAACTCGGCGAGATTACATCAATACGTTAAAGGAATTGCGTAAAAAGTACCCTACTTTGGCTTTGGAACAATTGGAAGTCATGGCTCATGAGGAAGTGTTGGGAAAAGGTCCTAAGAGCAGGGCCTTTTATAGGGTGCAGGCTACGAGGAAGATGGTAGGCGCGGGCAACCTCAGCAGGAAGATCAGCGAAAGAGCGCAGAGCGACCTTAGCGAGGTCAAGGCCGAGTTGCAGAAAGCTGAAGCGGAGAGTATCGATATCGAACATGTCAACGCCATGAGAGTATTTTTCGAACCTGGTCATTATACTGTGATGGAGAACGTTGGGACTTTTGAAGTGGGCGTTTCCAGGGCTGGAGGTGATCTCAGCAGACCCTGCACTGTAGATTACTGCACCGAAGATGGCTCCGCTGAAGCGGGATCTGATTATGTGAGTGCTAAGGGCACTCTAACTTTTGAGCCTGGCGAGACCATGAAGACTATCAAGCTTTCAGTTATCGATGACGAATTGTTCGAGGAGGATGAACATTTTTATGTGAGGTTAGTGATAATCATTTTTTTTTGCGTACATTTATGATGATAGAAATATATAAAATGTTAGAGAAATTCGAACAATTTTAGCAAAGAGATATTAAGGTCGTTATTTTAAGGTATGTTAAATGCTGGAGATGAGGAAAATAATAAAAATAAAATGTCATTCCGGTTAGTATTATCAATACTAAAAATGGAGATATACAATGAATTGTGCAAAGATAAAAATAAAAAGCAGTTTAATATTATTGTTAATTTGATGTATTATTCATATAATTACATTGTATTAAAATTACATTGTATTAAATAAAATTTAAATTACAAAGTTTATAATTTATACGAAGCTATTATATTATTTTAGATTCGTATAAGACTTAATGATGCTAATAATTAAAAAGTTAAAATATATCATTCTGACACTTCTTGCATTTTTCATTAACAAAAAAAGATATAGCTTAAAATTGTTGTAAATTGCTTTATTGAAGTTATCAGAACGATCAGGATATTGATATCAGTTAAAAAAAAAAAAGAAAGATAAGAATAGCGAATGAGAGCTAATGTCGGAACGCATATATATTTATTGTTAAAATTTTTCACAAGTATCGTAACCGCAATCATAATCATGCAATTGTGATTGCGATACTTGTGATTAAGATTTTAATAATAATCTCTAACTGTGTTCTGATAACCGCTTTCGCTTTTATTGTTTATTTTTATCTATTTTTTGTTCAACATGAGATATTTATGAAATGGTATACTTTTTTTAAATTGATTTTTTATTTCTATCGATATTATTTTTACCAAAGGTTCATTGTTTTATATCACATTTCTGCGAAATATTTCGAAAGTATTAACTTTAATATTTGAATAACTATATTTTATATCAATAAAAAAATTACAATTTTCTACAATAAAGTCTACCTGAAATTAAATAAAGAATAAGAGAGATTTAATTTTACACATCTACTTATCTGATCCATCGAAATTTAATTTGTGGTGAATCCTATATTTTTCCAGTTATTCTTTCTTCCTTTTTCATATAATAATATTAACGTGAAATATGTTTATATATTTCGATTTAGTTCGAATATTGAGATTTTTAATCGATAATTTATTTCAAGAGATTAAAAGCAACGCCGTGAAGAATCCAATATAATTATCGTGTGCTGATTAAGAACTGTAATTACATCAATATTCCTTTTTAAAGAAATATATATAATTCTTAAAATATATCTATATTGGATATAATTCATTGTAGTCATACAAGATCATTGATCAGCGACGAAAGGGCAATCTTTCAATTGATTTCAAACGAGTAGTAGTTGCAATTTAATCCGCTAAATAAGCGGTTATTGATTGATTTAACGAAAGATATTAAGGGAGGCTATTAGCGTGGCTATATTTAATACAATTAAAAAGTTATGAATGTTGTTGAATTTTAATATATGACATACCGTTAATAATAATTTGTGTTGTGATTTTATGCTTCTTTTTTTACATTGTAAAATCTACTATATATAATATATATAAGTTTGCTCGAAAGATATAGAGATACACGAAAAGTTAAAAAACAATTAATTAATACGTTGATGTTTAATAAATTAACACTATTAATTATTTTATTAATGTTACTCTTTATCTTTTAATATTTTTATTTATTTATTAATACAATTTCATGTATTTTACATCATATATTAAAAATATATAATAATATACCTACACAATAATTAATATTAACATTAGTTTATAAATTATTATTTATTACACAAATTATTATTTATTACAAAAATATGTTCACATTTTATACATTTTATATTTTATACATTTTACAGATTTTATTTAATTATGAGATCAACACATTTTATATTTACTTCTTTTATATTTTTCATTTTGTTTACAAACAAATTTTTTGTTCGCTAAAGCTGAACAGCGGTGATATGGGAAAACGATTACTTAACTTTTGGACTATGTATTATATTTTTTGTATACACAATATATGACACTGAAGCTGTACAATTTTTATAACTATTAAAAATATATATTTTTGACAAATTTTTCGCAGAATAATTGCAAGAAGTCATAAGCAAGGTTTTATATCTAATTGAATTATAAATTAATTTCTGGAAAGCACAGAAGAATTTTTGCACATAGCATACAAATTATAAACGTTTAATGTATCTAAACGTTATTTTTTTAACCTTGTACTTTGTTTTTACTTAACATTGTCAAAAAGTGCATTGCAAAGAGTGAATTTAAAATTTTTATCGAATATTTTTATGTCACAGAAATAAAACTTGGTCCTCGGATTAAAGCAATATGCTTATATAGAAAAAATTCTATCGCGATAAAATAGTTTTGTGACATAAAAATATACTTTTAATATGAGAAATGTGAAATTATGGATACGTGGTTGATTTTAAATCTATTTCAGTTTCTCTATATATTTTATCTTTTTTTGTTTTTTCTTCTCCTTTTGATCTCTTTCGGTCTCGTTTTTTTCCTTAGCTATTCATGTGTCTCTTTTTACATACAATCTATAGATCCCTCTATTTCACGCTTGGAAAGGATCGTGTTGTTTCGGCTAGGTGACCCGATTATTTATTTCTGTTATTTGCAACTTTACTTCGCATGTCAGATTGCATCAGATCGCTAGGTCGCGCGGAAATCACACGTGCATGTGGTATTAAATATATAAGTAAAATAAAGTACTGATAAAACGTACTTGATAATTCGGATCAAGAGAAAAATCGAAGAAAAATAACAAAGTACAAAGAAGTTAAATTGCATTGTATTTCTGCACCAATTATGGTAATAAAGAGTTCTACCGATTATTAGTGATATAGGTCGAGGAAAAACTATTGTTACTTGATAATCTTCGTACGTGTTATAATTCTAAAAATCTAAAGACTCTGTTATTGGCATTAACAGCCTATTTTCTCACATGTGAATAATTATAATAATGAAAAGTAAAACAGAACGATATTGTATATATATATGGTTATATTATATTATGTGGTAATGCATTATATCAGAATTACAGGAACATTTTATTTCTGTGTTTTTAGATATAAGGAAAAAAATATGAAAATTTAATACAAGTTAATAAAAATAGAAATTAATTTTTAGTACAAGTGATAGATCAAATAGATATAAAATAATATTGTTGAGGAAAAAGTTTTAATTATATATAATTTATATAATTATATATACGTATTATAATATGTACAATATATATCTATTGTAAAAATTGCATGTACTACTTACTTGTTATAAAGATATAAGAAATTAAATAGTAAGAAATTAAACAGTAAGAAATGATAGAAAGTATCTTTGTACATCAAACGAGACTAACAGATAAAAATAAAATCTTGGATGAATACTCTTTTGAATGGCAAATACAAACATTGAAATTATAGACCAGCTTACCTGTGAACTTGATTAAAGTATTCTACCCCGAATGACATGTTTAGATAGAAAATAAAAGATTTGTCGAGCTACAAATTAAAATATGTGCAATCCAAGGTCAATTTGACAGGTAAAAAATTTATCTGTATTAGTCATTGCAAAATCGATTAATAAATAACGCTTATTACATATATAAAATTGACATATTTACTTTTGTTTAAAAAATGAACGATTAAAATTTACAATATTATCTCTTTGTTTGAAAAATTTTTTTAATTATATATTATTATTGTGCCAAATTCGTGAAAGCGATTTTTGAAGTCAGTTGTTGTTGAAGTCAGTAATAATTTTTCACGAATTAATGATACCGTTTTCTAATTTTCAGGCTTAGTAATGTATCACAACCAGCAATGCTTGTCTCGCCGAGCTTGGCAACGGTAATGATTCTGGATGACGATCACAGCGGCATTTTTGGGTTTCCCGAGAGAGATGTAGAACTAGTGGAGAGCGTGGGTCAGCATCCTCTACGGGTAGTGCGCTATAGTGGGGCCCGAGGTCGCGTTATTATCCCTTATCGTACTATGGAGGGCACTGCGAAGCCTAGCAAGCAATACGTGCATACCGAAGGCAGCTTGACGTTTGAAGATAATCAGACAGAGTGAGTAACATAGATCCTCCTTTTTAAATTAGGAGATAGCTGAGTGAAATTCATTAAAAAAGAGACGAATAATTTCAATAAAAAGAGTAAAAGAGTAAAAGACCTAAGTAGCACACTGCGCTTACAAAGCCTCGACAAAGCTGCTAAAAAAGCGCGTATAATCGCTTTTTTAACGCTTTTTTAAGCGCTGCTGTGCTACTTGGGGAGTATTACAAAGTCATGATGTAACTCTAAATTACGAGGAAAAAAAATAAAATGATCAATTACTAACCAGCTAAAACGATACACGATTAATGCCTACTTAGTCTTTTTTTAAGGAAGAGAAATTAAAAATGTTAGTCACATTTAAATCTACGCATTAAAGTAAAATAGTATTTTTATGTAGAGACCGGTTAATAAATTACGGTTTCAACTATTTAAAATTATTTCATAAGCAAGAGAGATTAAGTTCTTTTAAAAATAAAGAAGGTAAAATGTTATCAAATAAAATATATACGTTTACAGATATTTAAAATTAATATTCTACTATAATATCGTACGTAAAAAACATATATTTTACTACGGTTTTACATAAAAATGAGATATATATGATAAAATAAAAAAATATTTTATTACCGAAGAAATTGAAAGCAAAGTAAAATACACACATAATAATTTTAGAATATATTATTAATTAATACAATATTAATTAATACCGTAAATATATGACGAATATACGTATTGTGTATATACATCATGTAAAATAAAATTTCTTAAAAGAGTCAGAGAAAATGCTCACACAGAAAATGTGATGTAATTAAAGTTTAATGTGTTTTTAAGATCAATATTACTGTTGTATCAAGTTAGTTTCATCAGACAGTATTATCACTTATCGTCACCAAAGGTTGTGTTAACTTAACGGTTAAACGTAATATAAGAATCGATCGTTATCGCAGTACAATCGATAATTGGAAACTCGCGCCATATAATTAGATTATATCAGTTTACTGTGCCAATTAGCATTATAAATTATCTGTAAAAAATTACATGATGGCATTTTAAAATTTGAAATGGATGGCATAACGTATAATAACGTAAAATTAAATGTAAAGAGGAGTAAAAAAAAGTCGATTTACTATATGTACAACACGTTTAACTTTTTTAAAAAGATGAAACAAAGTAAATTTCATTGTTTTTAAATGTCGGTATAATCGGTGAATATGAAAAGAAGTGAATATTAAAACAAAAGTTCAATATATCGAGTGCAAAGAATAGAGATATTTTCATATTTTAATGAAATTAAAGGATTAAGTATTGCATGATTTTTGAGGTTGTTAAATATAAAAATAATGTTAAACTCTAAAAAAATGGATATGCTATAGCGAAGATAAGAAATAAAGTACCTTCAAATTATATAATAAAAGTTTGTATTTACAAAGATATTTATATATTAATTGATGTATTATTTAATTCGTGTATAATTGATGATTCGAATTTCCACCATTTCCGAAATTCTATTATATTATAGACAGATATAAATGTACCGAGATTTGCCACACTAACGTTCGATAGAATGCAGATCGCTTTTCTGTTGCAATTAACTGTACAATATGGGATACTGGGTGATGTTGTAGCTAGCACAATGCATTTCTATCGCAGCTTTATCAGTAATTAGTGACTCATAGGAGATAATTAGAAGACCAGTCTAATACTCTTGCATAATCAGAACCTCGTTTGTAAAATATGATTCTCTATGACAGTGTTAGATTTGCATTAAGAGATATTGCATTATATAATAATCTTTTTTGTGACAAATTTTATTTATTAAGGAATTTTATATATAAATATTTAAATATTGCACTGATTTATTAGGCTGAAAGCTACTTATCAGTTTTTTTAAAGTTGATAAATTGTATATTAGTTTATTATTATCGCGTCTTATTTTTTTAACATTATCTATAATGCTTTTCAAAAAAAATTATTTAAAATTTTAATAAATTATTTGAATTACTTAAAATATATTATTATCTATCTACTCATACTAATTGTTTATATATTTATATATTATGTATTTATATATTTTATTATTTTTAAAATATATATTTTCGCGCACGCGTGTTTTAAGTTTATTCGATTTTTATCGACGTTTTTTATGCATTTTATATTTGTTATATACATTTATCGACACTGATCTGATTGTGCCATTTTTATTTTCTTAGTAAATATTATTCAAATTTTCATTGAACCTTGATTTGCAAGTGTATAATACAGTTTATCCTCACAAATCTTTATTCTTAATCTTTATTCTTAATCTAAATTCTAACTATTGTGTCGTAATACTCGCTTCCGACATGTACAACTCTCTAATTTCTCGCGATTGTTCGTAGCCTCGCATTGCTTTACGGACAATGTTGCACGGGGATCGCTTTGGAAATTTCTGAATGCGTCTAAATTGAGAATTTATGTCTTAAAACAGAGTTTTAAGGAAGTAATCATATTTGAAGTTTCAAAAATTACTACGAAGAAATATAGCATATAAATAAAGCATGTAAAAAATATGACACACATATTAATTTATTTTAATATATTAATTTTAAAGTAAGATTTTCTTTAGACAAATGATATGCGTTTTTATGAAAATAGTGTGACAATAATTTTACTGTTGGAGAACTTGTTTCTTTCTCAGTACCATTAAAATTGAAAAGCATTGTTCATTAATTAGATCCTAGATTAGATTGTTTCAATTTTGTAATCACTTAATACGAATGACTTTTTAAAAATAATGCATCGTTCTTTTATAATGTCCCGAATTTACCTTTGAAAAAATAGAGACAAAGAGAAGGAGAGAGAGGGCGAGAAAGATTGCTGTACTAAAGAGAGATTTCTTTCCAGTAAACTTCCGTAAACTTGAAAATAAATCCCTCATAAACTTTCCATTCCAGTACGATCTAGTTAAAGAATGTTCAGAATTTGCGAGATATTATATTATTTCTCGAAGTGACCCACAAAAGAGATAATAACATTCTGTATCGAAAAATATTGTGATCTTCATCTACTTTCTAATGAATGTTTAAGTAATCTTAAAATATGACATAAGAACTTGAAAATCAATGACAGTCAATAATTACAACAAAATTTATCAACTACTCAAGATTTAATATTAAAAATCAAGAAAATAATGCTAAATAAAATTTTTGCTGAAAATCGACTCCAAAAGCTTTATTTCCAGGGCGCATGCATGTTGTTTCTATTCAAACAGGACACTTAATACAAGTATTATTAAAATTAAACCAAATGTCAAATATTATTAAAAATAGAAATCTGTAATAATAAATCTGTAATAATAAATAAACAGTATAATGCAACATGGTAATGTAATCTCTACTATATTACGATGCTGTATTATTACAGATTTCTATTTTTAATGACATTTGACATTTGGTTCAACTTAAAGTTAATAATGCTTGTATTAAGTGTCCTGTTGTTTGAATAGAAACAACATGCATGCGCCCTGGAAATAAAGCTTTTGGAGTCGATTTTCAGCAAAAATTTTATTTAGCATTATTTTCTTGATTTTTAATATTAAATATTTTGAATAGTTGATAAATTTTGCTGTAATTATTGACTGTCATTGATTTTCAAGTTCTTATGTCATATTTTAAGATTACTTAAACATTCATTAGGAAGTGGATGAAGATCATAATATTTTTCGATGCAGAATGTTATTATCTCTTCTTAAGTATAAAACGTTTGAATAGAAACAACATGCATCAGCAAGATTATTTAGCAGATCTTAAATATTACTTAAAAAATTACTTTAATATTACTTAAAAAATAGTTATAAATATGGTTATATATTATAAAGTTATTTATGTCTAAATTTTGTGCTTTTTCTTATGGTGCAATCAATCTTAAGAATCTTCAATCTTAATATCCAAATCTTAAATCCTCAATCTAGGAATGATAAATTCTGTGACAACATTATTAAATTAAAAAAATAAGTTTATACTAAATCCAAATTTGATGAAGAAAAATACAATTCATATTAAAAAGTTAAGTTTATTGATTTAAAAGGGGGTAGAGGGGACTCACGCACAGCTAAAATTAAATTGTTAAACATAGAAGTGTTTGCTAAGGGTAGTACTTTTTCTCTAAAGGGTATCTGAGAACTTTCGATGAGAAATCGATGTAATTACATTGTACTAAGTTTTATCGAGTATATAACTTTTTTCATAATGTTTTTATTATGTGAACAAATTATTATTTTGTCTCTTATATTTTCTAATACTTGTTTAAGAAATAAATTTGACTTTTATTTATAATTTAAAACTGTTTTTTTACATAATATCTATTTATGACTGAAAATGGCTCAATATTTTAAAAGTTAACAGAGGAACAGCCGTGCCTGACTGATATTACTCGTGCTTACTAGAAACGCGCGCGAAAAGTGCTCTGTATTGAGGTCACTGGGTAATTCACGTTTGCACGAAACGTGCGATTGTACCTTTACGACCCTATTAGACACGTTTTTCCTATGTCTTTACCTTGTTTCATTTCCACGAGAAAGAATTTAACTCGATAAAATTATCGTTGGTAGCATTTGCGATGAAAATTTACTGATCCCGATGCTGAAAAATATGAGGGAACATATTTTATTAAAACTGTATGCGTTAACATTAGTCAAAAAATTGCAAGAGGACAAAAGAATTGATCATTTTTCATTTACAGAAATATATATCAAAATTAATGGACATTGTTTTGTGGATTTATTAATAGATTTTCTTTACTTTTTCTTTCTCTATTATATTATTCATTTATTTATCTGTTCTCCTGTATATATTTCTGGATTTTTCTCAAGATAATACAAAGCTCATTTTAATTATGCAGTCACTGTAGTGGTCTTAGTTGTAACAGCACGATAATAAATGTGTACTTTCGTTTAAAAAGACGTTTAAAAAGATACGAAATATGAGGAAAAATAAATATAATAATAATAATAATAATAAAATAATAAAAATGTG